CACCAGGTCAAATTCAATAATCCTTTTTTTATTTGAATTCTATGGTTCTGCAGAATTCAAATAAAAAAAAATAATTAAATTTGACCTAGTAGTTGATGAAATATCTTCTCTTAAAGTTTAAAAAAATCCAAAATATCTTTCAAAATAAAGCTGCATTAACCTTTTTTCCCAAACTTTGAGCGAAGTTATCTCATCAACCACCAGGTCAAATTTGATGAAGTTTTTTTTATTTGAATTCTATGAATCTGTAGAATTCAAATAAAAAAAAAATTATTAAATTTGACCTGGTGGTTGATGAGATATCTTCGCTCAAAGTTGAAGAAAACCCAAAACATCTATCAAAATAAAGCTGAACCAACTTTTTTTCCCAAATGTTGAGCAAAGTTATCTCATTAACCACCAGGTCAAATTTGATAACCTTTTTTTTATTTGAATTCTACGGTTCTGTAGAATTTAAATAAAAAATAATAATTAAATTTGACCTGGTGGTTGATGAGATATTTTCGCTCAAAGTTTAAGAAACCCCAAAATGTCTATCAAAATAAGTCTGTGCTAACCTTTTTCCCAAACTTTGAGCGAAGATATCTTATCAACCACCAAGTTATATTTGATCAACTTTTTTTTATTTTAATTCTACATATCTGTAGAATAAAAATAAAAGGTTTGATCGAATTTGGGTTGGTAGGTGTCAAGATAACTTTGTTTAAAATTTTAAATTAAGTGCCAAAATTGCATATATATGCAGATTGGCAAAGTTGATTGGCCCATGGCCCTAGATCACATGACAGGTAAAAATCACCTGGGTGAAATAGAATTTCCCTATAATTATATTATAATATATAAAAAAATAACAAATAGAAATTTTTTCATGATCATATGAGTTTGCTTAATAATAGATACATATTGAAAAATTGTCTTTCAATATTTATTGATTCAACCTGTAGTTGGTTAGTAGTTGGTTGTATGAATTCAGCTCTGAACTTGATTGAACAAGTTTTGTTTGGTTTTTGTTTTTGGTTTTCTCTGTTTAGTAATTCAATTTTGTTGGCCTTATATCAACTTAAATAAATTAATAACTAACCAAAATAAGCAATATATTGCAATACTGCTTCAATTATTTCACCAAAAATTGATATTACATAAGGATAGAAATAGTGTTATATTAGTTACAGATACCATATCAAAGATCTAGTATAACAAGTATGGTAAATTAATTTTTAAAATATTATTATTTATAGATCTTGTAAAATATAACACATGTGAGTAAAAAATTTTTTTATTGTAAAAAATTGCATCATCCAGAGTAGTAAATTGTACTTAGCATAATGTCAGCTAAGTGAGTTTTTGTTAAAATAATTGTCAGTGTAGTAAAAGAAGTAAGGTGAATTCAATTCAAATTTACAGCTATTATTATTATTCCTAGAACACCTGAATGATTATTTTGTTGATTCAATAAGTTATACTTTTTTAATAGTGGCATTTCTTCATATAATATATTTGTATAAAAGTTAATTTATATTTGAATCCTTTTTTATGTTTTTTATTAAGATTTATTGGTTAACAAGAACAGTCTTTTCCATAAAATTTGTACAAACTAAACATACCAGACATGTTTAAGTAAAATTTAATAATGGAAAACTTGTTAATACTATAGCTTTTATACACAGATTACCAAAATCAATAAATTATCAAATTGGCAAAATGATCATTTGGGTTATAGCTATTTTCATAATTCCTGAAACACCTAATAAAAATTGGCTAAATAATTTTTCAGCTAATTCAATTAAGTTTGTAATTTTAGCATAATATATAAATTCAATAAAATTAATATATAAACATAATTTAAAATCAGGTAAACTAATATAAATCTTTGCTGAAAAATATTTGAAAAATATTTTGAAAAGTTGCTAAACACTTAGGTGTTAGTATACCTTTTATATCGAGTTTTTAATTACTTTCAAAAATGTAGATATATTAAAAAGCTTCCATCAACTTCAAAACCACTAAACATGAATGATACAAAATATTTTAACTCTTTAATAAAAAAAATCAGAATAGTATTTGTGGTATATGAATTACAATCTAAGATGAAGCTCTGGTTAGATGTAAAATTAGTCTTGTGACAATTTGAAAGGCTACGAACCAACTTGTATATACAAATAAAAATAATATTTTATTATATACAGAAACTTTTTTAATATGTTCTTTGTACAATATGTTTAGCTTAAAAATCTAATTAATATTTAGTTTAACATTGACTTATTGACACACTAAACATGTTGAATAAGCATTTAAATGAAAATTCAATAATGTTAGCATTATTGTTACAATGGTCAGTAAAACAGTCATTATGATATGGATCATGCTAAAATTACAACCTTAATCCAATCAGCTAAAAATTATTCAGCTAATTTTTTCAGGTGTTCCAGATATTCCAAAAATAATGTTAAAGATAAATCAATTTATTTGGATACAAATAGCTATAAAGTGAATTATGTAGGATCTGATAATTACAAAATTGCCATATAATTCAAGCCAATAATCTAATTTTTTACAAGAATCATTTTACTTTAAAGTTAAAATTAAAGATAAAGGAAAAATAGAATTATTAGGGTAGAGTTTTGTACCAAACAATATATCTAGAATATAAATACAAATTGTATCTATGATTAAACAAGAAGAAAACTCATAGTATTACCATGGTGATAATAAATACTTTTATTGTTCTGGAAATAGAAAAAGTTTTAGAAATAGCGCACTATATAGACTGTTATATACTATTAATAATACTATTAGATATTATTTAAATTTTAGAAATAGAAAGATATTTTATACTAAAAATGGAGTATTGCGTGTAATATACTGATTCTTGCATTCAAAGACAATCTATACTCTTGTATTGGATTAAAATCACAATGCAAATCTGTAAAAGTGAATTTTGGCTACAAGAAATTTAAATATTCATTAATAACTAATAATGATATTGGTGGTGAAGAACTATTTGAAAAAATTCTATTGTGGCATTAAATGAGTTTATATAGCTATATTAACAAAATGATATTATTGCATTGATGTTTAGAGAGAAAGCGCGATTCTCCAGTTATCTGAACAAAAAATTTTTTTATATATAAATTTTACTATAAATGCAAATGCACAGTGCCTCTATCTAAAACTTTTTTTATACTAAGTAA